CGCCCCGGCCAGTTCTTTCTCGGTGACCCTCGATTCCGGGTTCCAACTTCCCGCGGTGACTTCTTCCGGCGGTTGAGGCTCCTGCTCCTCCTCTTCGATAAGGCTGCCATCTCCCTCGTTCGCTGCTCCCGGGAACAGGGTGCCGACGACCTCCTCCAGGAACCGAGGGTCCATGCTCTCCGTTAAGAGAGACGCCCATGGACGAAGTTTGTTCAATACCATCTTCTAAGGGCGCCCCCAGGGATCAGGTCGAGGCTGGCCAGAAGCTCGTCCCAGGCCCGCCTCTTCGCCTCCTCGATGTCTCGTTGCGGGAGCCTTCGCGCTTCGCTGTAGGCGTCGTACAGACGAGCCACCGTGTCTTCGTCCACGCGCCACCTACGGCGGGATCTGGTGTACCGGCGCCGGGCGCGGATACATGTCTCGCGGAGACGAGCTATCTCCTCCTCGTCGCGGCGGGTCACCGCCCACCGCGGGAATCTTCTTCTCCTTCCCGGTGGGCCGATGGGCCCGCGCGCATCCAACGAACGGTCGCCCATCACGCCGCCAACCGCCACCTCCATGAAGATGTAGAGGTGGTCCGAGAGGGTCTCCTCCGGGGAAACCTCCCAACCGGAAACACGGCGGGATGCGGCAGGCTTTGCCCATGTGAGGGCCACTATGTATTCTCCCCGCTACGCCACGCACGTACTGGATGACCCCCGGTTCATAAGCCGCAGGTCGAGTATGGCCGCCCAGTCCTGTACGTCGCGCCCCCTTCCGTTGGTCCTGCGGAAGTCCCACGCCGTTGAGTGGGCGTTGAAGTCCTCGAGGACCAGCGGCGGGCAGGCGCCCAAACGCCTCGCGCAAGCCGCGAGCCCGTCCAGGAAGGAGGCGTATTCTGTTCGGCTGATGTTGGGCGACATGTAGACGGCCACCACTGCCAGGTCGCCCCATTTCACGGCCACAAAGCCCCGTCCCCGCTCGATCACCGAGCAGGAGGGACTCCCCGCGATCCCGGTCCAGAACACGGCGACCGAACCGATTTGTGTCCACCTTCTCTGTCCTCTCTTCTGTCTCTCATGGGGTCAATTGACGGCGGTATCGTTTCCTTCCTCTTCACCGCGTCCCCACCGTTGCCTGGAATGGTCTTTGCTTCCTGTGCGGTCCTCCTCTTACGAGTAGGCGGTTTGCATACCGGTGACCCAATACGGTGCGACGCGGGCATTCCCAGCACAGCGGACACGCGGTGTCCTTCCTTCCCGCACCTGTAGCAGCACTCCGACCGGTCGGCCGTCGATGTACAATCCCGGCGCACGTGACCCGGCTCCATGCACCTGAAGCATTGGGGTCGACGCGCAGGGAGAGGGGAAACCCTCGCCGTTGATCAGCCTATGTTAATCCTACCTCTTCCTCTGCTGATTTTCCTGGCCGCTGTCAGCGGGTAGCGTAGCCATACCGACCCTCGGCCCCGAGGAGCGGAGTGGCTCATCGGCATGACAGTCCCCGGCCTCAGCAACGGCGGCTGCCACCTCCTCCGGGGTGACCGAGTCCTCCAGTCCGGTCACTCTTAGCTCGGCTGTCCTTTACGGCAAGGTTACCTTGGCGGGTAAGTCTTTCAGCGTGGCCGCCATCCGCTCGGCCAGTCACGATGCTTAGCTCCTAGCGTCCTGACCTGGGATTTCAAACAGCAGCGCCCCTGTGATCGCCCTCCTCGGTCTTAACTCCGTGATGTCGAGTTCGGAGACCTGGACTTCCCTCTTCACCACCGACATCGCATCCCTGTACGTGAAGCCCGAGCCGTCCCTCACAGTGAGCGATACTGCGGCACACCGTGGGGGTCTGGGAAGGCTGGGCACTTTCTCGCTGTGCATGTCCCGCCCACGAGCGTTGCGTCTCTTTCCTGCCCCAATAGCTCCGAGTCCATCGCCGCTGCCCGCTCCTCTCATGGATTCCCTTTCCGTGCGAGAGCACACCGGAGGCCGAGCGGCCACCTCCGCGAAATTCCTTGCTCTCGTTCCGCCGCTTCTATTCACCGCCCCGGGAGCCAAGGCCCTTGTTCGCAATGTCGACGACGGAAGAGACAACGATACCCGTCCCTTGGTTCTTGCGTCCTCGGTCGGCGCATTGACCATTGGAAGAGGTTGCGCTGTGGGCTTCCTGTTCTTTCGCCCCGCTCTCCCTTTTCCTCCTCCTAGGACGATAAGAAATCCTGCCTCGTCGGCCGAGGACTCCATGGTCGACCGTGAGGTGTCTTTCGCCGACTGCAATCGTGCTTGTACGGTTCTTGCGGCG